TCAAATCTAATTTGAATTTGGTCTCCAAGAGTGGAAAGGGTTAAAACTCTAATCCTTTAGGTAACCCTAATCCCAGATACGCCCCCTTAAGTGGGTGATCATATCAGTCTAGGTCGAAATGGGCTTTAGGCCCAATAAGTAATCAGTGCTCAATAAGTTTCCAAACTGCTGCCCAGTTGGGCTTATTTATATGGTGTGGGACCCAAGCATTAATCTACATATCAACCACATGGGTTCAGCCCAGCCTTTGTTACAAGGCCTAGCCGAATTCACTGAAAAGCCCAGTGAACCCCTTGAGCCCATCACATGGACTCTATGGGCCCAACACTTACAATAAGTGATCCCTAGGCCAAGCCATCTTATAAAAACCTAGGGACTGTGGGCAGATGCAAAATTAGCCCATCAGGTGTGACCCTAAATGCCCTTACACTTAACCTCTCAGCTCATAATAATCAAACACTGCCTGACAAGAGATGACATCTCCCTCGGCTACAAGGAACAGTGCTACACTCTCTACTCACATGGATCACAGGAATTAAAACCATTTGCAAACATTTTGAAACCGTATAATACATCATATATATAAAATTTGCAAAACAAAATTCTAACGATTGAAATCAACTACTAGCAGTTTGGTTTCCATCAAAGAGTGCATCCCCGATCATTACCTTTGTCCGACAAAGGGGCTGATCCTGTCACTATGATCACCCACTTAGATGAATTCTCAGACTGTCCCAACATACCCAGGTTTTGACCCCCGCTAAGGATCTCACTGATTGGCATATCAAAGACAGCCCAATCTGACACTTAATGCAGTATCATAATCGAGTCTAGGGATCAGGTGTAACTTTCCAGTTTTGCCCATCAATCTCCAAGGTCCAGGGCAATACTGAAAATCTGGTCCAGTTCAAGGATTCAAGTAATCATACACTACATGTGCATTGGGTCTCACCTTGGCAGCTAAGACAAGCCACCCCAACACTTGGCAGCACACCAGTGTCAGCCTTGATAGGATAAATATTCCCAGACTTATTCAACGGCTGTGAATGTTCTAAATTAACACGAGTCTCATTAAACGTCTAGTTTAAGGGTCTTACACAGAAATATACCACACAACATGAATCAAACATGTACTTTATTTATTTACACTAAATGTCAAAAGAAATCAAATTTGATTGGAGCTAAGGGCATACAAAACTGTCTAACATTACATCTGATTTCTATACCATAGATTCATAACTTTATTGAGTTATGAACTAGATGGTTTAATACTCAATTGGATTGAACCAGGATTTGCATATGGTTTGATCTGAATATTAAATTAGAACATTGACCTATGAATCGAAGGCTAAAAAGAAAGAGCAAATTTCTTAAAGTACCCTTATGGTTTACGAAATTAAGTAACTCTACTTTTACTGTTTACATATTGTCTTAAAGTACAATTGACATCATCGTTAGACACTAATTGAAAAAAAAAAAAAACAAAATGTCAAATTTTCTCTACATAGTTTCTCAAATTTTCAAAATGAAACCCAACTGTTGAAAAATTGAAGAATATGAAGAAGTGGATCGCAACTCTGACAATGACGTTTTGAAGATGGTAAAACCTCTCGACGACGAAGTATGTTGCAATTCTTGTGACGGTGAGGGTGCGACAGTATTTAAATCACATTGTAGATGAAAGCACAATGATTAAGGATCAACACACTGTAAATGGAAACACATGTGATCTTTTCATCCTTGAATCTACAATGAATGCTCATCTCTTAATGAAGAAGATTAGCACCAACCGTACGATAAAGGTAATGGTGAGTTCAAATCAATTCAAACTATTATTAATTTTGTTCCATAAGGCAATTCTTAGTGGATCATCATCCATATACGAAAAAGAGTGTACAGAGGTGAGAGGCATGCCCAAAATTGATGAATCAATGGCCCTGAATTTGTTGCATCAATGTGTCTTTCCTCATGTTCATGCAGGAATCAAGTTGTGGTGATAGATTATAACATTTAAAGTGGATCTAATCTCTATGCAGTATTTTGTACAGAAGACATAATACACACCTTTGTCAATATGCCCGCTCAAAGAACTATCAAACTGGATCTCAAAATATGGTATACCATTGAGAATGTCAAGGCCATGATTGAAAGTATGACAAGCATCTCAATGTACAGGCAATGGTTGTTCTATAATAAAAGGGAACTTTAGGATTTTAAGGTCAAAAGTAATGAACAGAGTAAAAAATTGGAAACTTAAAATCATATGGAGAAATCTCTACTGAACAATATCAAATCCTTGCATCTCATGTAAGAACAACTGAACAACAATGATTGGCAACAACGAGGAAGAGTAGAATACTTTTTCCATACTTGACTTAAACCCCACCCCCCACCCCACCCACCATCTCCGGATTTGTTTTCTTCTACCAAAATAAAATGGCAATAGTTACCCACGCAAAGAGTAAAAAGGTTGTGGGCTGTGCTAGGCCTGATAGATCGTATGGGCCGTGTTCGGCCTAGGGTTTTAGGTCTGTGGGTTAGGCCGGTAGGTCGTGCTATACGACCCATATATATTATTATATATATAATATAATAGATTATATACATCATAATTATATAATATATTAATAAAATAAACAGTTGTTTTCAATTTTATTATACTAATTTATTTAATTATTGTATATACAAGCAATTATATATATCAAAATTCATATAAAATTAAAACTTAAATTTCTTTTTTCAATTTTTTTAAATAAAATAGCTTTGGCCTGGCTTACAGACCAACCCGACCTACGATATGGCATGACACGGGCCCATCGGACTTGGGCCATGGTTCATGCCAAGCCGACCCCCTAAGTTATCCTAAGAGAGGGCGGCAAGACTCACACTTTGCAAGGGTGGCCCGTGGGCTGTGCCATGCCGGCCCGTTTTACACCTTTAAGTTGGAAGGGCAACAACTACAAGACGTTGATACTCCTAGAACTACCAACACCAACTTACTTTTGGAGAGATTACTTGGGAAGATGGCAGCTACTTGTCTACCACCTACAACGGTGTATCCTCCTCTCAGCAACTACAAGACGTTGATACTCCTAGAACTACCAACACCAGCTTACTTTTGGAGAGATTACTTGGGAAGATGGCAGCTACTTGTCTACCACCTACAACGGTGTATCCTCCTCTCAGCAACAGCGAACATTCTCACAAAGTGGTCCAGAAAAACAATTAAATTATATGACGAACCATAACTATAAAGGGTGCTTTACGAATTTTTAAAAATATATGTCATGTGATCGAAAGTTAACGAGAAAGGAGGTTTTAAATAATTTTCAAAAAATTTAAGAGTACTTATATAATATGTAATTAATATAGAATTAATCAATTTCCTAAACCATAGAGATACTTTACCCAAAAATAAATCTACAATTTCCAGGTGAGATCTTGCAAATTTAAATTTTTAGGTGACCAGGTTGAGCTTTAGGCTTTTTATGAGGATCGGGCTCAGGCCTAGGCTCGGCCACTTTGTTAGTAAAGAGTGAAAGCCCGGCCTGACAAGTGAATAGGTCTACCCTAGAGGTGTAAATTGGGTCGTGTCGCCTTTGGCTTAACACGACAATTCGTGGGCCATACTGGGCTTAAGGTTTTAGATGTATGGGTCGTGCATCAAAGTTATTTATACTAATTTATTTAATTATTATATATATAAGCAATTATATACATCAAAATTCATATAAAATTAAAATTTTAAGTTTTTTTTTAATTTTTTAAATAAATAACTTTGACCCATTCCATGGCCCGCCCTAGCCTAAGGCTTGACCCATGGACCAGACCGGCTCATAACATGGCATGGATCCACACAAGCTTGGGCCATGAGCTGTGCTGGGCTGACCCCCCAAGTTATCCCAGGGGAGGGCGGCATGGTCCGGCCCGTTTTACACCTCTAGGTCTACCTTTATCGGACTCCAAATTTCACTTTACACCCGCCACTAGGGGTGGGTATTCGGTTTGTTCGGTTAAAAACCGAACCGAATAAACCGAATTTTCAAAAACTGATATACCTATTTGGAAAACCGAACCGAAACTGAACTTTGCAAAAACCGAACAAACCGAACTGAAAATTTTTTTCGGTTACTTCGGGATTCGGTTAAAATCGAATTTGCTTGCTACTCTCGATCTTTCCTATGCATTTGTGCAAATGCATATAAAATTTACGGTACAAATTTTAAGCAAAGCACTTAAAAACTAAAGAATCTGGTGGTTAAAAATTTTTCGCAGTCCAGATTCGGTGGCTAACAAAAATACCAGGAAGAACTGAAGATTAAAAGGGAAAAATAGAAAACAAAATACTTGTACTTAAAGATTCAAATGGCAAAGAAGAAAACAGGGAGGGAACTAAAATGAACCGAAAAACTATAGATTAAAGAAGAACCACCGGACTCTATCACTTGCCGCCGTCTGCCAGAAAAATTGGTTTGTTGGATGTTGAACCTTGGAGTAGTGCGGTGGAACTGGAACTCGTAGCTTGCTGCTACTTTCTTGCTCAAACCGTCAAACGCTCACCGCTACAAGGGACTCACCGACTCAAACGCTCACCGCTGCTACTTTCTTGCTCAAACGCTCACCACCGGATGTTGAACCTTGAAGATGAAGGTCGATGGTTAAAGAGACAAAGACTAATGGGTTTTGGCCTATGGGTAATAACCTTTGGGCTTTTCACTATATTTGTCTTAAAAGTTTAACTTTTTAGGTTTTGACCAAAGGCTAATAACCTTTGGGCTTTTTATTATATTTGTATATTTATTGATTTACCCCTTAAAAATTTGGTTTTTTCCGTTAGCCGAACTATTAAATCTCACAACCGAAACCGAAAACCGAAGTTTGGCAAATCGATTTTTAAAACCGAAATCGAACCGATTTTTCGAAATAACCGAACCGAAAACACCAAAACCGAATTATGCTCCCCCTACCCCTCGCCACGGGCGCAGTGCCTCGTTGACTCATTTCCCTCTCTCTCGCTCGGTCGCTCTTCGCTCCGAACTTCTATTATTCTATAGTTGTTGATATTGCTGGGAGTAGTTATTTCACTGAGTCAAATCATTTAAAAGGTTTTTTTGGTAGAGAAAAAAACCCTTGTTAGTTCTACTTCTACCCCTTCAATTCTTTAAATCTTACATATGTGGATTAATACCTAATATATCTCGTCTAGGGTTTTAGTGTTTTTGAAATGAGCTTACTGTTCAGAAGAAGACCTTCAAATCTCATCTTGAATCGGAACCTCTTTGCATCAGTTTCTCTCGCTCATGCTTCACCCACACCATCCAATGATTCTTCTCAGACCCCTCAAACCGCATGGATTCAACAGACAAAAACAGTTCAGCTTTCAAGCCCTAGGGTTCAAAAAAGCTTCTTCTCGACGCAGTCCAGCAAATTCCCCGAGTACGAGATGCCGTCAGTGACTTGGGGTGTGATTCAAGGACGAAAGGAGAAGCTTGTCTCTCGCGTCATAATCTGCGACTATTTGAAGAGCTTGGGAATAATTCCGGATGAATTGGAACATCTGGAGCTACCGTCGACGGTCGAGGTCATGAAAGAGAGAGTGGAGTTCCTTCAAAAACTTGGGTTAACGATTGACGACATGAACGAGTACCCGTTAATGTTAGGATGTAGTGTTCGGAAGAATCTGATCCCTGTTTTGGGTTATTTGGAGAAAGTTGGAATTCCGAGATCGAAGCTCGGGGAATTCGTGAAGAATTATCCGCAGGTGCTTCATGCTAGTGTGGTCGTTGAGCTTGTTCCTGTGGTGAAGTTCCTTCGGGGTCTAGATGTCGAAAGGGAGGATATTGGTTATGTGTTGCAGAAGTATCCTGAGCTTCTGGGCTTTAAGCTGGAAGGTACGATGAGCACCTCAGTCGCTTATCTTGTCAGCATTGGAGTCAACCCGAGAGATATTGGGCCAATGGTAACTCAGTACCCTTACTTCCTGGGAATGAGAGTGGGGACGATGATTAAGCCCATTGTTGATTACTTGGTCTCCTTGGGGCTTCCGAAGAAGATCTTGGCTCGGATGTTTGAAAAACGAGCATACATCCTCGGCTATGACTTGGAAGAAACCATGAAACCAAATGTAGACTGCTTGGTTAGTTTTGGAATTCGAAGGGACACACTTGCTTCAGTTATTGCTCAGTATCCTCAGATACTCGGGCTTCCATTGAAGGCTAAGTTGTCTTCCCAGCAATACTTCTTTAACCTAAAGCTCAAGATTGACCCTGATGAATTCGCACGCGTAATAGAGAAGATGCCTCAAATTGTTAGCCTTAACCAAAGTGTCATATTGAAATCCATTGAATTCCTACGTGGGCGGGGTATACCAGCTGACGATGTGGCAAAGATGGTTGTAAAGTGCCCCCAACTTGTTGCTCTGCGAGTTGAGTTAATGAAGAACAGTTATTACTTCTTTAAGAGTGAAATGAAGCGACCTCTGCAAGAGCTTGTGGAGTTCCCAGAGTACTTTACATACAGCTTGGAGTCAAGGATCAAACCAAGGTATCAGAAGTTATCAAGCAAGGGGATTAGGTGTAGTTTGGCTTGGTTTCTTAACTGTAGTGACCAGAGGTTTGAAGAGAGGCTGCAGGCAGATTATATTGAAACAGAGAGTATGGGACCATCATTTTGTATGGGTGGTAAATTAGAGATGCCAGGGAGTGATATTGTATCAGAAGAAGAAGATGAGAGTGATGATGAAATACTCTATAGACGGACTGTATCTCTTTAGTGAGGTTTATTTCATCTCCCTAACAGGATTAATATTAAATTCCATACATCAAGATGATGTGATTATCTGTGTTCATTTCATTCTTCCCTACTTATCCTTTCTAATGAGTAGTTCGCTTCACTCAATCTCCAACTTGTTAATTTCTCCTAGAATGGATACCTTATTGTTATTTATTATGCTAAAAGTTTTGTATGTTAGTGATGATGAATATCCATGAGCATGGTATAAAGAAAGAATCGAATGAAAAAATATATATCATTTTCATTGGTACTTTCAATCAAGTTTGTGAATAGCTATGCTCTAAATTATAATGTTCAGATCATTTTGTGCAAATAGTAAGCAAGGGTTTGTACATGTCCTAGTTGCATTGTCATCTCTTTCATTGCTAATTTTGGTATATACTTTATACTTTCAAAGTTACAAAGGTTTGTACATGTCTTAGTTACATTGTCATCTCTTTGATTGCTAATTTTTGTATATACTTTATACTTCCAAAGTTACAAAGATTTGGGAAGGTATGTTTTAAAATGCAGAGGCATGACGCAAGGCGTTCCACTACCTAGAGGTGTGAGGCGTAAGCCTCCCGAACACAAGGAGGCTTATGCCTCCTTAAGAGGAGGGGGGTCAGGAGGAAGGGAGGATCTAATTTTTTCTTTATTTTTAATAAAAATATTTTATATTAAGAAGAATAAAGATGCATAGCATTAGTAAAAGGGGGGGGGAGATCTTCCCTTCCTTTTCCTTCTCTCTCTCTCTCTCTCTCTCTCTCTCTCTCTTCCTTCTGTTTCTTTCCCTTCCCTTTCTTTTCTTTTCCTTTCCTTTCCCTTTTTTCTTTTTTCTTTCAGTCTTTTTATATGAGGTGTTCATGAGGCGTACACCTCTAGCACGCCTCATGGAAAAGCGCATGAGGCGTACGCCTCAAAGGTGTCAGCGCCCCCAACATGCGCCTCAAGGCATTTTGGGAGTGCCTCGCTTGGAGGCGCACCTCCAGGCCATAGTTGTCAAGGCGACACCTAGGCAACAAGGCGCCCTTGGAGGCTCGCCTCGCCCAGTCGCCTAGCAGTTTTGTATACTGTCTTATAAAATACTTTTATWTTGTTACTTTTTTRAGATTAYAATTATAAAATAGACATTATTAAACAAAAATATTCATTTTTTTTGTGTTTATAAACTAATTTCTTTTTATTATTTTCTTATTTGTTAGGGTTTAATCAACACAAGCATTCTTAACTGCTGTATTGAACCCTCAAAGACTTCAGAATTTGAATCAATAAGTAAGGGAAAAACTTAAAGTTTTGTCTAATCAACACATTTCTTCCACCACATCTTCTTCTTCTTCTTCTTCTTCTTCTTCTTCTTCTTCTTCTTTTCAAAGACTTAAGAATTTGAACCAATAAGTAAGGGAAAAACTTAAAGTTTTGTCTAATCAACACATTTCTTCTTCTTCTTCTTCTTCCCCTCCATCCAGTGAAGCTCAACAAGTATTATGATCATTCAGAAAAGCATGTCACTTATCCATTTTCCTTTTAGTTTGTTTACTTTTTCGTTTTTGAGGCAATGGAATTTCTCTACAAACCCGTAAAGTATTGCATTGTATTGGTGGCTGTGGAGAACATTTAGGTTCAGCAACTGATGGGTCATAATTCATACCTTTGACATCTCAGTATCTCATGGATCCCAATTTTATAAACCATCACATTCCAATGATTTCTCTTTGAGCCAACCAAAAATGTTACAGTGAATGATTGAGGAAATTGTCAACATGTGAAAGATCAGAACTTGGGATAAAAAAAGTAGAAGATCAGAACTATTTAAAACTTCAGTCTGGGTCTGGTCCACCTGAACTGCTTGTATGGTAAAACTAATAAGCTATTTCTTAAGAGATGTGACATGCTATGAAGAACAGTAATAGCTAAATTAATTCTTGTTCGCCCAAATTGTTTCAAGATTGATTTAAGCAGGTTATTTGTTTTGAAATCCAAATTAATAAAGAGAATCAGTGCAAAGCCTTATGACCATGTATTTCATGTCGGGTAATCAAAAATAAAAGAGAACTCAGAAGACCATAAAGGTAAGAAGATGAGTAGTGAAGTGTATCATCTCAAAAGAACTATTAACAGTTTAATTATAAAAAATAAAAAAAAAAGGAACTATTAACAGTGTTGCTGTGGGGAACCCAAGCAAAGTAACAATGTTAATTGCCTTGCAGCAAGGGAGAGAGAATTTGGTCAATAGAGGCATTGATGGCAGTATACCGGGGAGTGGGGATTGGCTTTCCTGGTTCACTTATTGGGTATTTTTATGGTGGCTTGGCATCTCCGTAGTATTCTAATTGAAGTGTTTCAATATATTTTTTTTTTTCTGTGGATATGATCTTCCTAGTCTAGGAAGTCCAGCTTCTTTCAATTTTGATAATATTATGTGTGCAAAAATTGGTCTCTTTCACACCATGTTTGTGTTCTGTGCTGGGAGAATGGGGAAAACGTCAACCATCTGTCTTTGTGTAGAACATCTCATTATATGTGGCTTAGAATAGGTCCACCACATCAGAGGGTGCTGTCAACACTTCTCCCACCAAGGAGAAAAAATGTTGCCCCAAATCTGAGAAGCATAAGAGCACTGCAAAAATGGTAAGGGTTGCACATTGGTCTCAGATTAGTAAAGAGTCAATGTGGTAAGCCTGAATGATCTACTAAGAGGGTGGGACATTATTGCAGGTTTTAATAACAGGGTGCCTCAAAGGGTGGTGGAATGGACTTGACCGGGGGATGGAAGCTGCAAACTAAAACTTTAATGGGTGCTGTCTTGTAAATCCTGGGAACTCTGCAGTGGGAAGTGTGGTTAGGGATTCTCAGTTATTCAGGGCCAGCTGGCTTTGGAAACTCACTAAGGACAAAATTGTTAGCATTAATTCAAAGCCTTAAACTGATTGTTCAGCAGGGGTTATTGAATATAGTGGTTGAGGGGGACTGTCAAACAGTCTTTTTGTGGATGAATTCTCGAGAACAAATACCTTGGAAGTTTAAACAGTTGGTGAGGTTGGTTCACTTTTTTTTTTTAATTAATAACTGTTAACTTCATTGAATTTAAAAGAACGTGAGGTGGTTCACTTCTTAGGTGCCAGCTTGAAAATCTCATTCATTTGGGTACCCAAGAGTGCAAATATGCTAGCTGATTCTCTGGCAAGATTGGAAGTAGGAAAAGATAGTTGGAAGGGGACAATACAAGCAGAATAGTTTCCCAGAAATGTTATAATCTTGGAGGGTGATGTTCTTTTTAGTGCCTGAGTTATTTTCAAATGCCACATAGGATTTGGAAGTTGAACTATACAGCGCTGGAGTGAGCAGCAGTTTCTTTTGCTTGTTGCACGGAGGGCTTGATTCATCAGTTTCATGGAGTATCCCAAGCTCATCGGGAACTTCAAAGAGCTCATGCTTGAGTTTCAGCACAAGATCCTCAATCCATCTGGCCTCAGCAATGAGACATACACGTCCTAAGCAATGCATTACCTTACTGCATCCATTGATGGCTAGCACCTGAGAGGAGGTAGAGCATGCCATGTTAATTGCATCCAATGCTTAGTTGGTTGTAGACATATGTTTCCTAAGATCCACTTGGGACAACTCCTTCGTTTTAGCTCATTCTGCCCATTTTGGAAACACTCAGCTGCCATTTTGTCCTAGAACATCGGTTTCCTTGATACCTTCGCTCATTGTTGACGAGCCTATTGTGGTAAGCTTTCTCCTTTCCTTTTTCACATAGACCATAATTTCCTTCTTGTTTTATTGATATTTGCCTTAATTTGCATTTCCATGTTTGTTTTGTTTTGATTTTCCCAATACAAGCCTGTTTTCGTTCTCAACAATTGAATGCTCTCTCCTCTGTACTAGTTTTTCAACTTATGCCTATATCTTTTAAGTGCTTAGTTTCATATACTTGATTGCTTAGTTGCATATGCTTGAAATTGTTGTTATTGTTGATTCTGGTGCAGGAGAAGGTAAATCATGTCTGTAGTGGCCTCTGGGCTGAGTAATGGACTGAATCCCTGTCATGGGGATCTTGAAGTGTTTATTGTTTTGAGAAATTGGAGCAAATTGGTGAAGTAGCATATGGGTAAGGTGGAAAAGTAGAAAGAAAGAAACAGAATTCTTTTTTTTTTTTTACTTGTGCAAGCAAGATTACCATGCTTCATAGCTTTCGCTTTGATTGCTTTGTCTGCTACTTTGTTGGGAAGTTTATGCTCCATCTTTGGATGTGTTTTATGCGTACTCGAGAATCTAAATAGGGTTTTTTCAAGTATATATTCATGTTCCCAATGAATCTTCTTTCACTCGATTTCTTTAGGTGGGACTGAGTAGAGTGTTTCTAGGTATCAAAATTTTCTTGCAACATGGTCTCTTGGAAATATTTCTTTTAGCTACTTTTACTTTTATATCTTTTTTTTTATGGATTCAGTACCTGTTATCTTTTTGTGCTTGCAATCAAAACTACATGGCCAAGGAAAATTAAAACAGGGGAAATTGTTGCATTGAAAAAGATAGAATGGACAACCAAAGAAAGGTTTATGCTTCTTGTACCTTCTTTTGATTTTTGCAATTCATGGTCTGTCAATCATAAATTTAGATTTTGGTTCTAGAAGCTAAGGTTATTTATGAAGTTATTATATCAATATTTTTGGTTTACTTTAGAATGGAATGCATCTAATGCTTCACTTTGATATGCAGTTCCCATTTATTGTAATCCTTGAAATTAAAATTCTAAAGAAGCTACATGATGAGAATGTAATAAAAATGACTAAATGTGAATGTTCAATTGGGAATGGCATCACAGTCAACTGTCCTAATTATGGAAAGACCTAATTGCAATTTCTTTGAAATCCAACTGATTTCTATTGAAAATGAAGAAGAATTTTACATATTTTTAAATTTTGACAAAAGACAAACCAAGATAAGGATCTCGATTTTTTTTTTTATAAATAAGTTAAGTTTTCATTAATAGAAAGAATAATTCAATTACAAGCTTCCCATGGAGAGCATGAACTGCGTCCTCTCCTAACAAGAAGAAGAAAGCAGAAGATAGAAAACAGATTCAAACAACATTTGAGCCCAATATAATCGTTCCACGAGAGTGTTTCAGTTATTTGGTTGAAAGACCCTGATTTTACTTTCATTGTTTTCCCTCGCACATTTTTTGTTTTTTTACAATGTCTAACATGTCATTAATGGGCCCAGACATCGTCTTTTCTTTTATGTTTTTCCATCTTTTTTTCTTTCACTGCTCTTTTTCAATTGTTAGGTTTATTTCTTCCTTTGTTCCTTTAATATGCAACCATGTCTCTGAGACTAAAGCATCTTGAGTGTAGCAGCACCTTTGCAAGAATTAGAAACAATGGATTCTCTTCCCAGTGACTATGATAAGATTGAGTTTCAAAATCTAAAAATTGTGAATAAAAACAAACCAATGGTTTCAAAGTATTTTGGGATCCATGTATATACTCAAAGCTCAAAAAGCTTTTGCACTTGCACCCTGAAAATCACCTCAATTTTTTATGTTAGTGTTCATGTTGTGGAAAGTTTCTCAGCAAGTAGTGTTGGTGCTGTCAAGATCCAAAGGAAAGATAGTCCCCAAGAAAGCGTTTCAACAAAAGGATCTCCATCTACTTCAATTCTTGCAAACTCAGTCTTTCTGTGATACTCAAGGGGCACAGAATCTCTTAACTTGGAATAATTCAAATCTATATCTTTTTATTTATATGAAATATTCAATTGCATGTGCAATGCAGTGACACTCAACTAGTCCTCAGCAAAAACAGAGATGACTAATCTACAACATATACAGGCATCATAGTTTTCAAGGTGTCTAGGCGATTTTGGGAGACACTGGGGCGCCTAGTTGCCTAGGCGATAAAAATTTTATAATATAAAAAACTGACTTTTGGCTAGTTTCCCAGTTTCATATACCATTCAGCATGTATGTTAATTGAAAAAATAGCAATTCTCTTCATTAAGACCATTAAATTTCCTCTAAAAATTTGGCAAATCATCACATCTAAAAGATAAAAATATTTTACATATATTAATTTCATTATTTTCGAAAATACTACTACTACAAGTATTTAAGAGAGATAATTCATATTAATTAGCAGCTAAAGAAGGTTATTAACTTTATATGATAAATATTCAAGATAGAAAGTAAAATAGAAAAAAAAAAACACAAGGATGGAGTTTCTGTTTTATTTAATTAGAGAGAGAGAATAGAAAAAAATAACTTTATTATTCTATTCTTTCTTTCCTCTTTCTTCTCCTTTCTTTTCTTTTCTTTCTTTCTTTCTTTTTTTTCTCCTAAAAACCCTTTGATCTTTTAAATTTCAATAGTAAAACATTAAAACAAAGTATAATTGATATATATAGCATATAATAAAATGTAATAAAACATATATTAATAAGATACAGCAATATAAATGATATTATAAAAGGCGCCTGCCTTGTCATTTTTGTTGCCTAGGCAGACGCCTAGTTGCTAAAAGTCAAGGCGTTTGGGCGAGGTGCCCAGCCAAGGGTGCCTAGTCGCTTAGGCGATGCCTTGACAACTATGACAGGCATCAAAGCCATGATAGGACAGATTTCTTCTCACATTGTTCAAAACGGTTGGATGAATTGTACATCTTCCTCAGGGTAGTTCAGTGTTGAAAATTTGATAGAGCTGATTCACATCAGGGTAGTTCAGTGGCTGAAATCATCGGACCTATTCACAGATTTTACTGTGGATGATCTGCCAAGGAATTGGAGAGAGATTGGCAGATTGCTAGCAGTGCCTAGGTCAAAATGTGTCTAAGTCTGTCTTGAACCCCTCCCCCACTAGATTTATAAAGCTGAACTTTGATGGTAGTAGTAGAGGGAATCCTGGGCAGTCAGGCATATGGGGTGTATTTAGGGATGGGAATGGGACTGTTTTAGCTCTGTTCTCAGGCCCAATCAGGAGTGGTGACTCTCTCAGGGCTGAGATCTTTGCAGTCTTGGAAGGTTCCCAAAGAGCAAAGGATATGAACATTAGAAGGCTTGCAATTGAAGGGGATTCAGAGGTGGTGGTAGGGTGGCTGCAAGAAGACAAGGCTGGATTATGGAACTAAAACAACGAAAGGAGAAGTTTCAGGTGGCTGGTTAAGGACATGGAAATAAAGTTCAGTTGGGTGAAGAGATCTGCTAGTTCGTTTGCTGATGGGTTAGCTAATCTAGGGGTGGACAGGGAATCTACATTTTGGGCTCAGTTGTAAATCTGGTTTTCTCATTCTGTTGGTTCATGCCTCTGCTGGGGAGTTAAGAGAGTTTATCTCCCCCTTTGTACAATTAATTATTCTGATTGATTAATGAAAGTTTTGTTATTGATAAAAAAATCTGTCTTCCTCTTACTGCAATATATTTCTGCTTGAAATGTAGGATAATTAATCTATCCATAATGACCAAAGCAGAAAGAATTGTGGGAGGATTGACAATGTGACATGAGAAGGGGCACCCTGAACTAAGGGTGTCAATGGATTGGATTTGGGTTGGAACCCATCCGAATCACATCTAAATTGGACGGTACAAATTTTGGTATTGGGTTGGACTGGTCCATGTTTTATGGTCTGATAATAATTAGTGGACCGAAATGGATGAACTCAATTTCTCCACAAACCATCTGAAAATCCATCGCAGGCTAAATCTTCAGACTGAGGACTCCTATCTAGGTTCTCTCAGGTCAGTGAACTGTCTCTCTGGTGATTTTCAATCTTTGGCAGCTTTCTCCCTCCAGCGTCTCTGGCAGCTATCTCTCTTCCATGGCATTTCTAACACGGGCTTCTCAGGCATCAGTCTTCTCCCTCCGGCATCAGGTTTCTCAGCATTCACCATAAATGTGAATGAGTATTTACAGAAGGAATTCTTTAAAAAAGAGTTACCAGATAAAAATGATATTATTGTAGAATGCTTATTTTTTCTATTAGCATTATGGCATAATTCATGTATCATCTGGACATTGACTTCTCTTTTTTGTGTCTCTTTGCTGTTATTATGTACTAATAAAATACTGTAAATTGGGATTCGATTATTCTCCACAGCTTTACCAAACATGTGGTCACTATGAAACCCAGAACGGCCTGTTAAAAAGGCATTTGCTTCATTAATGCTTGATAGAGCTGCAGTACTGTCTGTGGGTCTGGCATTGCCATGGTGAAGTAGGATGTGGCCAGTTATGGCCTGTGCCATGTTTAAAAAGGGTTCCAATTTAATGGTTTGAACATAATCCAGAAACCAATTAGCCATACTGTTCTGTCAATTCTATTCTTGGCAAAACTGCACATACAAATGCATTTTGCATTTATACAGCTTAAACACGACTGACTAGCTACAGTTGTACATGCACTGTCCCCTTAAACAATAGTCATAAGTTCATGTTTAACTGTGATATGTTCGGTACTGATGACTTTAAATCTGAGAAAGAGGGGTTTATTTGTTCATATTCTTGTTACTGTAACATGCTTCATTTGTTATATGGAGATGCTCTGGATATAATGCATGCCCATATCTTCTAGGGTGGAACACAGTTCTGTTATTAGTTTTACAGGGGCGTTATTTCTCTGTTAGCATTTTAATGAATTTACTTCACATGATGGGGTCTAAAGGAACATCTGGCTGATCAGATCATCAGATACTGTAATTTCTTTGATCAGATACAACATTCAGTTTAATTATATGCACCAGAGAGCAAATAATTGGTTCTACCTGGAACATATGGTTGAAGAGGAACAACAACTTGGTTTTTTTTAGGTTTTCCTCCTTGACATAAATGTTATGTTATTTCTCAGTAACTTGGTTCTTTTGGTTGAACACAGGTGCCAGCCTGGGTGATATTGACAGGGATTCTTTGGAAATTTTGCACCCCTCACCAACTGCTGCTCAGTTGAGCATGCTCCTCTCTCCAAGACCCCCTAACACCTCTATCCTGTGTTTTGAGTCCAGATGGTAAGCCTGCAATGGGCTTTTAGTAGCCCAGTCAAGGCAGCTGTTGCTTCAGAACTGAGGTTAAAGTTCTTCTAGAGAGTCTTCAAATAGCTTCAGAGCTGCTGCAATGGCCTCTTCTTGAGGGTCTTCAAGTGAGTTAAAGTGATAGCAATTTTTAAACAGATTGAGAAGATGATATTGACCATGAAGTGTTAGCAGAACTGGACAACATTGAGCTCAATGCTATTATGGTAGTAAAGAGGTAAGTGATGACAAGGTTAGTTTTTCTCTCCTATAGCCATCATTGAATGTAAAACCTTCAAGTCTTTCTAGTGGTGATCAGTTCTATTTTGTGCTTTCCACTAGACTATGTAGCTTTATGAGTGGTGCTTTTATAATGATTTTGTTAATATTATTAGGAAGTGCCACGTTTAGGTGGGTATGCATGCTTAAATGCTAAGCATGCAGAAACAAAATGCCGTTTTCTTAGATGCAGAAATAAAATCTAGTTCTTGTGGGACTGGGAGGGATTTTGATGCAATTGAAAAATCTGGCGGATTTAGATCATTAACAATGAAGATGGTGAAGCTAGAGAATAAGCACAACCAATAGAAGAAGCAAATCATGGAAGGTCAAGTTGGGACCAATGATCCAACTGTTGTCCTTAGGCTCAGGACACACCAGCTTGTTATGTTTAAGATATTTGACCAGGAGCATTGCTTCCCAGTTTCCATAAGCCTTGACCTGGTGATAAAAATCTATAAACAAGTTTAGAAAGAAAGGCTTCATTCATTTGACCAATCAAACCTGAAACCAAGCCCACCAAAACAATTTTAAGAAAAAACAGTCTTCCATTTATATAGATGAACATTAACTGTATACTGAGAGTTGCTTGAAATGTTTTGAATTCCATTCACATAGGTTCTCAATCCTTTGATCCATCTTGCAGGGTATTAGATTCAGCATCTAACAGTTATGACAAGCTGGAGAATTTTGCAGCAGTTTTAGAACACTTGCAGCAGTAAGGATAAAGTTCTCTTATTGATGGAGAGAAAGCTGTTGAGATGCAACCTGATGCAGTAGCATTTGGAACACTTGCGGCAGATGTTGCTCCCGGTAGTTGATGAATTTTTTGTAAGGATGAACTGGACTTGGATCTAATAGTAATCTGCTTGTATGAAGCCTTGAATTTTCTGCTATTTGACATCATAGGGAAGAATCTTAGGATCAACAGATATGCAGATATCCCTTTACAGCTCAAATGAGAAGTAATTATGTACTCTTCACGGGAAATATCAGTAAAGGAGCACATTAATACTGGATTAACATCATAGTATCCAGAACATGCATTGAAATTTCTTATACAAGAAAATGACCTTTTTTTTTCTTTGGTAGGTTAATAATTATGGAAAAAAGGCGAATGCTAGCATGGTGGCCTTTGTGAACATAGAGCTTTTTCAATCACCAAATGGCAAAAAATAATCATTTTCATTTTTATATTTTTGTGGAATTTCTAATATGTTTCTGTAGTTTTTTTTACTATTTTCTGGGTTTTCATGTAGTTTTTGGTGTTTCATTCACTTCAGATTGGATTGGACGTAATCCGGTCCATTTACATTTTAATTGGACTGGATTCAATGTTTTGAAAATCGTAGAGAAAATTGAATCGAATCGAATTGAATTGTGAATCATGTTGTAAATTGTAAGATTATTTCTATTTTTTTATGAACTTGTCAAAAAATAAATATAGATATATTAATGTATATAGGAAAATGACTCTTATTTAATATATATATACACGTATAACCGGGATTTCTCAAAACCGGGATTAATATATATATATATTTAATCAGTTCCGTTCTTCCCCAAAATCGGGATTTCTCAAAAAACCGTTGATTTTGGTCAGCAAACCGCTGACCTGGGCGGTTAACCGTTCAAACGGTTTTGACCATTTTTTATTTTTTTTAATTTTTCTGTCAGAATGGGCTGACCGTTTGGGTCAAATGGTCGAACCATTCAACCCGGTAACCGGACCCCTGACCGGTTCAGTCTCTGAGTCGGTTTTAAAAACCATGCTTAAATAAACAACAAAATGCATGAAGATGGCTGCCCTCTTTGTCTGAAATGTGACCCAATTACAGTGACTTGAATTTGGTCTCTTTATAATTGGATTGGATATGCTCATATATCTTAGTGTCAATCTATTAGTAAAGTTTATTTGAATGTCGAATGTTTACTAAACCAATAATACTTATAATTGGATGCACCCCCAATTCATAGAAGATATTTTCGAGTCTTCTCTCCTCTGTCTATTTTTTCAAAAGTTCCTTTGTCTGACTCTTTATGCCATGCTTGATGGGAAACAATAGGCTTATTAACCGCTTCAACATTAAGACATTTCATTAGCTGGAAACAGAATTTAACACTTCTCATTATCCCTCAAATTTTCTAAGAGGAAATCTTACTTGAGTTCCATTTCCATCCAAACTCCATAGAATTGAATTCAAGTGAAATTTCCTTTTAGAAAATTTATATGCCCCTCTAAGTAGTTTGCTGGGTTTATCAAACCTAATTAGCTTATTGGATTTATGAAAGACCACCTTAGTAGCATGGATATTCTACCATAATGATATTGCAAGCATTGTCTTAACAAAGAACACGACTGTTCTTTGATGGGTTTGGCACTATCAATTCATGTTCTTTGATGGAAGGAATAGTCAATCTATATGGTTTCTTGTTCTAAATGAAGTCAGGTGCCACCATTGGAAGGGATTGCAGCAGGTCTAGGCCATAGGGTCCACATAAGCAATGTGGCAGGCTGGGGCCCAATAACTTGTATCAAATAGCATTATGGGTTTGTATCGTTTTGTATGGTTGAAAGTTGAATTATAAAGAGGAAAAAGGATTAATTATTGCATTGAATGTCGTGTGAATTGTATTTGCATAATTCGTGATTCCAAATGATAACAAATCTGCATCGTGGGTTTGCATCGTTTACTAGCAAACAGAATCAATACAATCACCCATGGAAATCTAAATACTAACTGACTTTGAATTCTCCTGAATCGTTTTGTGCATTTGTTCTGAACAAATTTGCATTTGAACCCTTGCCAAACACAGCCTCAAGTTCATGAATCAGAGTATACAAGTTATGACAATTACACACCTCTAGGGCTGCAAATAAGTCGGATCAGATCCGATTCGAATTGATACCGATCCATCAAGAGGTGGATTCGGATATCCCTCTTAATCCTAATAAATCATATCGGATTGGAAAAGTCAATCCATTAACTTAACGGGTCGAATTCGGATATTGGCCGATCCGATCCATTAATTATAAAATATTATATATTATATAAATAATATAATATATTATTTGTATTACATAATATAAATACAATTATAATCGAATCAGATTCGAATCCAATATCCAATATAAAATATTCAAATTCAAATTCAAATCATGCTTTTGAAAATCTAATTGATCCTTATCGGATTCGAATCAGTCAGATTTTCTTAACGGATCAGATCGTATATGCCCTTACCAAATCCAATCCGATTCGTTTGCAGCCCTACACATCTCAGCCTCCAGATGCAAACTTTATATCGGATGCGTTCATTTTCTTTATGCTAAAATGTTTAGGATATCAAAATAGAATGATGCTTCCTCCACCTATGCCCTGATCTAGAGCTTCATGAAAAGGTGCTTTAGGCTTTTAGCTTTGGGGTTTAGAAGTATTTTTGACTTTTAACTCATGATGTATTTAAAAGTTACTCAGCTCAAAACTTTTTTTTTTTAATTTTCTACAGCCTGAAACCAATATTTTTGAACTGTTGTTGACCTGAATGGTCGGACTGTTTGGCTCAAGAACCATCTAGGCAATCGGTTCTTTTTTACCCCAAACCCGATCTCTAATAAAAAATCGTTGAGTTGTTCAACAATTCATTGACCCAGGTGGTTGAATGTCGACCCATTCAACGGTATTATGATCCGCATATTCCTTTCATTGTATTAGTTACTATTAAGGATTAAGCAATCCAAAGATAACAGAACCCCCGTATCTTCCAATAAGAATACCTACTAAACAAACGGATTTGTACGACAAACCAGTGAGGAGAGCTTGCATCCTATCTGTCTGCATCGTAACTAGTGCTACCTCTTTTAAATTCACCGCCAGGAATCTCGTTTCCATCTTCCTTCAATTCATTCAATAATTCTCTTACCGTAAAAATTCGGCTTTTCTCATCATCTTTCTGAAGCCCGGCAGACTCAGTTTCTTCAACCGCGAGAGATTTTTTCTACCTCTTCTGATCTAATCCCTCCATCTTCAGTTTTAAATCTTAATCTTTTACTGGTCCAAGTTCGCTTCCATTCACTAATTCTTATTGTCGTTCCACAACTCCAATTCTTCGATGTTAGCAGACATTTTAGAAACGAAGTCAGCAAAGCATCAACGAGGAGGGGCGAAGTTCAGACTTTGAAGCGAAGCGAGGAGTGAGATCTGGCAAGTGTGAATGACATCAATATTCTTTTCTTTTTTACTCAATGGCAAGTGTGAGATCTGGCAAGCTTGGTCACGCCGGATCGCCTGTTTTTTTTTTCTCTCAAAACCTTAAACCTACTTACAAATAGAAATCGAAGTGTGTTAGGAAATGGAATTGATGTAACTGTTTTTGGCCACGTACCAATATCAATTTTTGGCTAAGTACCTCGTTATTTGACCCGGTGGTCACGTGCCTTGGTGATGAGCTACTTGGTGGCGAACTCCCTAGTGGAGAACTGCCTGGTGGTGAGCTCCCTGGTGGAGAGCTACTTGGTGACGAACTGCTTGGTGGCGAACTCCCTGGTGGAGAACTGCCTGGTGGCGAGCTCCCTAGTGGAGAGCTACTTGGTGACGAATTGCTTGGTGGCGAACTCCCTGGTGGAGAACTGCCTGGTGGCGAGCTCCCTGGTGGCGAACTGCTTGGTGGCGAGCTCCCTGGTGGCGAACTGCTTGGTGGCGAGCTCCCTGGTGGCGAACTGCCTGGTGGCAAGTTCCCTGGTGGAGAGCTACTTGGTGGTGAACTCCCTGGGGGATAACTGCCTGGTGGCGAACTACCTGGTGGCGAGCTACTTGGTGACGGACTGCTTGGTGGCGAACTCCCGGGTGGAGAACTGCTTGGTGGCGAGCTCCCTGATGGCGAACTGCTTGGTGGCGAGCTCCCTGGTGGCGAACTGCCTGGTGGCGAGCTCCCTGGTGGAGAGCTACTTGGTGGCAAACTCCCTAGGGGAGAACTGCTTGGTGGCGAACTGCCTGGTGGCGAACTGCTTGGTGGTGAACTGCCTGGTGGCGAACTGCTTGGTGGCGAACTTCCTGGTGGTGAGCTCCCTGGTGGCGAGCTCCCTGGTGCAGCGCAACCCGACTGCCCTCTGTATGAGGTGATTTCCTCTCCTTTGTAGGCGGCGGGAGCTAAGGGACCTGCGAGAACTGAATCAGAGGACTCGGGGGTATTTTCCCGGCAGGGACTCTCCGATGCCTAACTTAGCATTCTGATTACAAAGAGCTTGGAGAGAAATGAGAGAGCTAGAGGGCAGGGGTTACCATCCTTTTTTCCCTCTTCTTGGCTTTGGGGGTCGGAGTCCTTATATAGTGGTGTCCTCGCGGGTTAGGTGGGTGAAAAGCCTTCAAACGGTAAGACTCGTCACACCCCGTCAGAACCGGGGTACGGTGGTGAACTCCTCAAGGTTATCAGGTTGGCGCTTGTGTCAGGCGGCCAGGTCGGCGCCTGGGCCAGGTTGTCAGGTTGGCGCCTGTGTCAATCGGTGGGTCGGTGTCTGGGCCAGGTTGTCAGGCAGGAGATCTTCCTGCAATACGCCAAACTACTCTTCTATATCGAGCTACCCTACAAGTGGCGAGCTGCCCGGGGGAGCTATGCCGAGCTGCTTGTGGCGAGCTTTGCCGAGCTGCCTAGCTCCTTGGCGAGCTCTTTGGTGAGCTACCGAGCTCCTTGGCGAGCTCCTTGGTGAGCTACCGAGCTCGCGGGGTATGCCGTTATGGTTCATCAGTGGGCGTCTTATGGGTTGCCAGGTCGGCCAGGTCAGATCATGTGCCGGGCTGATCCAGGTCGGCCAGGTCGCACAGGCCGCGCCAGGCTTGGTAAGTTGTTGCCTGGGTGTCGCCTAGTTGTCATGAGGTGCCACGTGTCACAATTTCACTAGAGGGCCAAATCTGCCCTCATCATTTGCCCCCCACTCCCGAGTTGAGAGTAATTCAACGAAGGGAGTAGATTTCTTTTGGCCCGTAAGTCGATGAGCTAGTAAATGCTGATCCAATTCCTTAGGCTTT